ACAGCGCACCCATCCGGTGGCGGAATAGATCGAAGTCGTTTGAGGGCCGTGTACAGGTTTTCTGTCACCCAAAAGCTTAGTCCGTTGACTCTGATTTCTTGTTTGATGCTGGTGTCTCCCCAAACGTAGGACAGGACATCGTAGTAAAGGGTATCATTCAGAGTAGCATGATGAAGGTAGCAGATAACCCTGTCATCAGCACCAGGCTTGATCCGGAGGATACGGATATCGGTATCCGCTAGCGGGAAATATGGGAAGCCACGTCGTATGGAGGAAGCTGCCATGCTTTGGTCCATATTGGGTGATTGCGATACCAAACCTGGTTCGCGTCAGAATCCACCTTTGTGGAGACACATTTCACATATCACTGGAGGACGCTAGGAAGAGACGTGTACTACAGAGTATATAGCTAGAGCCTGCGGCCCTCCACGCCACATACCCTTCGGGAGGTCTGCCGCAAGGGCGGCTGCGCCCTTGCCGCCATGGCGTTAAATATCAAACAAACAAACAAAACAAACAAACACCTGGTTCGCGTGAGATCAGACAGAAGGGATGTGTGGGAAGAGAGTAAATGGAAGGAAGACATTTGAATCGGTGTTGAAATTCCTTTTATAGATCCAGTTGAGCTACACATTGCGGCTGACCTGCTGTGCTTCCAAAGAAGGGAGGTATATTGGTCGGTGATCTCAGCCCCTCCCAAGTGGCCTTGGCGTCATCTACAACACACGATGCGCCGTAATCCATGGATCGGATAGAACATTCAGGTCTATGCAGCCGACTGTGTGAGACAAACTTTTGACTGGGGTTCAAGAGATTAATTGGGGCGTAGGCCAATCAGCTACTTAATCACTTGGTCAAAACGTGAGCACCTGAGAGAATAGTGGTTGGTTGTAGCATCACTACGAAGAATTGATGCATGTCCTTTATATGCCTAGGCTGAAGACAATTTTCTTTGAGTCCGATGGCAAGTTTGGCTTGAAATGCCGGTATTCTTCATCTCCGGCACTGACTTGTGCGGTATGGAATGTTGACCAATTTACACAAATGCTAGCGGTGTCCGTTCTAAACAAGCTGAATGAGGCTGAAAGCTTTCCAAAATGGCCTGTTGAGCTCATTTTCATACCTATCGACCCGCCCTATCACTTCGTATGTGTCGAAATCGACCACTCTGCGAATGGTTATCGGCTCCTCGTCATGCCTCAAACATATGGTGTCGCCAGCCTGGCATGGAGTATCCGTTTCACGGAGTCCCACCCAGCTATCCTTGATAGCAAAGAAATGCTTGCCCAGATCAATGCCCACCCCCCTAAGCCGTCGATGATCTATCCAGCCTGAACTATCAAATCCAGGCAGACGGACTTGGGAAAATGAGTCGAACTATTCGCTCGGAAGAAGGGCCGACCACGGCACGTCCGAGTCCAGCGAGCGACGAACGGCGATAGGACGTATTATTGCCCGCTCGATATCCTCAATGCGAGCTAAAACCTGGTTGTGATCGCTGTGGTCGAAGCCGTCTCCTGGGGCTGGGAGGGTCACTTCGCAGAAGTCAGTTGTGTTTAATGAGTACTTTTATATAAAGTTATATATATATAAAAGTCTATTCGTTTATTTTATATAGATTATCAAAGTAGGTTAAGCGTTATTATTCTTATTCTTATATTATAGTTATTATTCTAATAAGATATTGTATATTAATACTACCTAGCTAGCTAGAACCCACCGCCCAGATAGTAAACCTTATATAGGTGACTAGCTGCTCTAAGCAGCAAGAGAACCAGCTTTCCGGCGCATTACTTTCGATTAGGTCTGTTCTAGATCAGCTGGATACGATCGAAAGTCCCCCCGTCAAGGTTTATGAGCTCATCTTCATACCAATCCACTGGCCCAATCACTTCGTACTGATCGCTAGCATTTCTCCTGCGAATAATGATCGGTTCCCTCGCCGACGTGACACATATGACGTCCCCAGATTGGCATGGTACGTCAGGACTACATCTCCCAACATAACCCTCTTTGGTGGAAAAGAAAAGACATTGATTGAGTCTTACGTGCAAGTTCCCTACTCGCTCATTGCTGAGCCACTCTGCGCCATCAACCTCAGCCTCGCGGACCTTGACAAGAGTTTTGAAGTCGACATTCGACAACACGGCTGACCAAAGGTATTCAGAATCCACAGAGCGACGAGACAACAATGGTCTCATGATCCTGTCTTCAATTTCCTTGATGTGTTCGATGACTGACAATTTCATGTCCTCAATTGTATCCATGTATGGGAGGTACGCATTGGCAGGAGAAACAATCTCACAGGAGTCGATTATATTCGCAGTGACTATGAGCACTTGACCATCGTCTGAAAGCTCCGGCGGTTGATCCGAGAACGGCCTGGTTCGGGTTCGAGAAGAGAAAAAGTAAAGGTCTGACACCCAGGTAGGGGCTTCGGGCAATCGGCACGCACAGCATGCGCATTTTATGAACATGGAGTCGCCAGTGTGTTGAATAATGAGTTTGGTGATATCGGTGAAAACCTGTCCAGGGGGGCGACTGTAATCCACAAGAGGGAGACGCAATTCAGGAAACCGAGTAGTCAAAACTTGCAGTAGACCGTAGAGCCAGTAGATGCGATCTTGCAGAATGGAAGACGTTTTCATCCTGGTAAGGTCCAAAAGCATCATAAGCATTGAACCGGCATTTTCATCCTTCAGGTCCCGTGACAAATGCGATTTCTGCGCCCATGATCTCATTTTCACCAAGTTACCCCATGGAAACCCTTGATAATTGTGCTTCATTTCTCTCGCGATTCCATCGATCCAGTCAAGTGTCGCAGTGCAGACGAATCCATCAAAGTCGTAGGCGAAGATGGGGGATCTCTTTGTAAGCACAGCCTCCTGTACAGTCCAGATTCGATAAAACCAAGGATGTCGTTGAAACACTGCGAATAAATAGTCAAATTCCGCTCTTGCATCTTCGTCGGTGGTGACTTCACTTTTGCCCAAGTCAGGCCACGATGGCCTTGTGTTTGCTTGATGGTGGAAGAACCCCGTATGTAAATCGGTTCCAAGGTCTGTTGCATCAACAGACCACCACATGTCGCAGGAAGACAACCAGATAATGACCCGCTCCGCTGCAGCATAGATTTGTCCTATACGTGGAATCTGTCGGCTCTTCTCCTTCTCGTCGTGCTGATTGACACAAATGGCGTCAACCCAGATGAGAAACGGTGGCGAGAGGATATTGTCGGCGGGCATGTCTCGGAATGCGACTAATGCGTCATACAGATTAACTGTGACCGGGTATAACGTTCCGTTGACTTTTATCAATCGCATATCTTTTGAGTCGCCCCACACGTAGGACAGTGCATGGTATCGTGGGTCTTCGCTGAGGTAGACGGTGCGAAGCTGGCACTTTACCCTGCCACCGCCGGGCTTGATACGCAAAAGACGGATCTGAGTCCCCGAAAGAGAGTTGTAAGAAGTCTTGGCAACGGTCTTCACAGCACCCTGTCGTGGACTGTGACGTCTGTGCCGACAGGCGATGTTCCGCGCCGCGGCTGCATGCTTCCTGCGCATATTGTCGATGAAAGATAGATCGTGGAGGCGGAGGAAGAAGTGATGACTTGTCAGAACACGCGCAGTGTGGTTGCTCAGAAGGGGGGTTTCCCACTCATGTATGTGCGCAGCCAGCCAAGATCAGGCTGCGCTGCACACCAGGGCTGACTTCATTGGCTTGACTGCGCCGTACGAAGCCATGTTTGCATAGCCACATGTGACTCGCTGCGGTCGTAGGCCAGTATGCACCCACATGCACGAAACATCCCAAGTGATGAGTGTTCAAACAGGATAGAAATTATTAGATCGAAAGACATATTTTGACCACATTTTATACTTCGTGAGCAAGCAGCGGCAAATGTGAATGACAATGTGGACAATTATTACGCACTTTTTTTTTTTCAAAATTAGAAAAAAAAAAAAAAAAAAAAGAAACAAACTTCACGAGCCTCGAAGAAAACAGCCTGGAAAATGGAAGTCAACCCAGAACTGAGATTTCAAAACTTATAAAATAGTGACAAAGATACAGCCTACCACGTAGAACCAGGCCAGTTGGTCTTTCGGCGGGAGCTCTTCATTGAATACCGGCAGCCTTCACACCACCCGTTTCAGCGGGAAAATATTTCAGTGCATTCATGGTTGTGGGTATAGTCATTGGAAATGTAGACTGAATTATCTCGGGTTGTAACTGTCGCGGGTTCCGTGGATTCCGGTGTCGCTGAAGCTGCACAACCAGATCTGCTTCAATCAGTATATCAATCCAAATCCCGCACCTGCATCCAAGCCTTTCCGCTCGCGTCGAAGCCAACCCTTAGTACGTAGTCTGTGTAATACCTTTGCCAGTGTCCAGCTGATCGACGATAGCTTGAAGCCCTTCGCTATAACCCTCGGCAGTCTGGACCAGACTAGTCCCACTGCTAATTTGCTGAACTGGGGCCACTGTCGAGGATCCTTGTCTGCCAGATCGCTTGGCAAAGCTTGATTGCATCTCCTGTCGTTCGCACCCCATCTTGGAGACGTTCTAAGATCCCACTATCTGGCCTTGTCCATTTTCGATCGTGTAGATGGAGCCCCAAACCAGTGGTCCGAGTCAGACCTGACTGGCGGTGGACATTGACCCCAGACGGCACGAGTCTTCAGCGTGGGGAAGATGCCGAATCGAACAACATTGCTCCAAGAGACGTGATGGCCCTGACTCGGAAGCACATCTCGAAAATTCGTTCTTCCCTTTTGAGCATTGGGTCCACGCAAGTCCATGCGCGAGAGCGCCCTATTGGAGGACTGAGAGGCCGAAACCACGGAGCAATCCAGATGGGGCGTTTGGGGAGAGTCAGATCTTCTGCCATTAATACAGAGAAGAGTCGTCTTATTTAGATTGGGCTTGGATTAGGCTTCGTTTTTGAGTTTGTTTGTACTGCATCCACCCTCGCAACTTGATCTTCTGCCAAGGGTATCATGGCATCGGATTTTGCGAAGGCGTCCCTGCCTGGTGGCGTTGTTAACGACATTCTCAACTTGTGCGCCAGGCACAACGTCAGCGAAGAAACATTCTTCATCACCGCATGGTCTTACACTATCGCCATCTACAATGGCGCTTCACTTGTCACAACAAGTGTCATCAGAGATGGCAAGAAAAACAAGGTTGTAATAGAGTTTGACTCAAGAATGACAATCTTGGAAGCGTGCTCACCCTTGCATTACACAAAGATATGCTCGGGCGCAGATTCCGAGCACTCTCCTCGCAGTTCCACGCCAGGAGGCGAGCTTCACGACGACCCAGCCACGATTCTGTTCGCTCAAAATGGTCCTCTCGACCTCGAGTCAGACATTGGTGAACAAGGAATTTTACCCAATATTGTGATTGATGGTCAATACCGCATCGCTCTACACTGTACGTCATACTGCTCGCAGTTCCCTCGCGACGCGCACTCGGGGATACCCAATCAAATATCATGTTGGACAGCTATTAACGATCCCAAGGCCTCCCTCATTCTGTACCTGCTCTGTCATCCCAAGCGTTCCTGGAGACTTTCACTACCATCATCGGACAGTTCGCAACCCTTCCTCACGACACTTTACTTGGCGAAGTCAACGTACTCGGCCCCTTGAACCGCGAAAGACTTGAAAGCTGGAGCCCTCGCTACATACCAGTCGTCGAGCGTTGTGTTCATGACTATGTCGACGAGTATGCAATCAACACTCCTTGGAAGGAAGCTGTGGTTGCTACTGAGGGGCCCAATTTCACATATTCTCAGCTCTCGACACTCTCCAGCAGCTTAGCGAAACACCTCATGAACAGTGGCATCAAGAAAGGGGACATTGTTCCGATTCTGTTCGAGAAGTCTTCCTTTGCAGTTTTGGCCATCGTCGCTATTCTTAAAGCGGGAGGTGCCTATGTTGGGTTCAGTGCCGAGACACCCATCAACTTTCTGCGAGAATGTTCATCCATTGCGAACGCTCCGCTCATTATCACGAGTAATCATCACGAGGACCTCGTTGGGAAGGTCAGCTCCCGGGCATTAGTACTGGACCAACCATTTGTTGAGGGCCTGGTGAACTCAACAGATGATGAGGGCTTCTCATCTCCCGCTCGTCCATCAGACCTGGCCTATCTGGTGTTTACATCAGGATCTACCGGTACCCCCAAGGTATGATACACCATCACTCCGTGCGAGAGTTTCTCCTAATCCCTCAGCCAAAAGGCCGTCATGACGGAACACAGAGCCTACGTCACAGACGCCCTCGCACAACAAAAAGCTGCTCTACTCACTCCTTCCTCCCGTGTGCTTCACTTCGCCTCATACAATTTCGACGCCACCAACTTCGATGTGCTCAGCACTCTCATTGCTGGCGGCACAATTTGCGTTCCTGCCGAGTTCGATCGCATCAACCGCCTCGCGGGGGCCATCAACGACCTCAGCGCCAACTTTCTCGGCGTCACAGCCACCCTCGCACAAATCCTCGAACCAGAAGATGTGCCCGGTCTGAAAACCGTGATTCTATGCGGCGAAGCCAACAGTCCCGAAATCGTTGAGAAGTGGACTCGGTCTGGAGCCGATGTCATCAACGGCTACGGGCCTTCGGAGGCGTCATGCGCATTCTCATACAATGTATACACTCGTCAATCGCCACAGGCTAACAACATTGGACGGGCACTCGACGGAGCTTGCTGGGGATGGGTTGTGAACCCAGAGAACCACAATCAGCTACTGCCTATTGGTGCAAAGGGCGAGCTACTGATTCAGGGACCAACGCTGAGCAGGGGCTATCTGAATGAGCCGGAGAAAACTGCAAAGGTGTTCATTGAAAGCCCTGAGTGGTTACCAGGGAAAGTCGCCATCAGCATGGAAAGGCTCTACAAGACAGGAGACCTTGTGCGACAACTCCCAGATCAGTCTTTCGAGGTGTTTGGGCGTATCGACACGCAAGTCAAGCTAAACGGCCAGCGTATTGAGCTTGGCGAGATAGAGCACAAGGTTAGGTGAGTAGTAGGCGTCAGAAATGCTGCTTCCACATCCTCGACCTTAGGGGAAAAGAATGATGTCAAAGGGTTAACCGGCGTCTTAGTCTACTGCTTGGGGGAGAATTTACAGTCGCGGTGGAGGCAGTACATTTGACCCGCGGAGAAGAGCCTGCCTCAAAAGTTCTGATCGCATTCTACGCAAAAGATGTAGGAGGTACCCAAAAGGATGCTGCGCCGCTGGAGATTGTCAACGATAGTGAGTCTGAGCTCATTGATGTCCAAAGCATCAAGAAGAAGCTTGCAAATGACCTCAAAGCCATTGCTATTCCCCAAGCATTTATCCCACTTCTAAAGATGCCGGTCACTAGTCAAGGCAAACTAGACCGAAAGCGTTTGCAGAAAATTGGCAGTCAACTCGATAAGCTTAGGTTGGCTGCGTTCTCTGGAGTCACCGTATCTGTCAAGGATGAGCCTGCGATGAACGAGTTTGAGGCAATCGTCTGCGAGCTGTTCGCACGGTCACTTAGCTTGAGCAAAGGCGAAATTGGTCGTCAATCAGATTTCTTTCCCATGGGTGGCGATTCCCTTAAAGCCATCAAATTGGTATCTCTGGCCAGGAAGCTGGGTTTCAGTCTCTCGGTACCGGTAAAAGATGATACTCTTCCATGCACAACGAAGCAAGGATGACAACTGATACCATGCCTAATTCACAGGACATCCTTCAAAAGTCAAGACTGTTCCAACTCGCCGAGTTCCTGCGCAAGTCCGCTAAGACTAATGAGTCAAGGAGCTCGTATCAGCCATTCAGCAATATTGCAAACCAAATCACACTCGACGAAATACAAAAGAGCGCTAGAAACGCGTGTGCCTCACACGAAATTGCAGACATAGTCCAGGCCACAGACCTTCAAGCGAGCTGTGTCGCGTTCTCTACTTTCAGTGAAGAGCGCCGCGGAATCAACTGGCTCATATGTGACTTCGACGAGCCCCAGAACGAGACGGCAGTTTATCGTATGTGTGAAATATTGACAGAAAGACGTGAGTGCATCTGTGAAGAAACCAACTATTTCAACTGTGTGAAAGCGAGCTAACAGTGTCAGACTCCACTCTACGAACCTTTTTTGTGCCACACAGGAGAGCGCTGTATCAAGCTGTGTCCAAGTGTTTTCGTCCTCCAACGAGAACTCATCTAAAACTTGCCAGCATTGAGTATGCTACCAACACACTCATTAAGGCCGACTTCAGGGACAGATACGTTGAGATGACTTGTCCTCAAACTGCCTTTGACCTACTCTCCAGCAATGACGCCACCAGTATCAAGCGTCTTCTGATCCGCATCTCCGCAGCTCAATACGATGGTCACTCCGTGTCAGTCTTGAGTCGCGAAATGGGGTCTCTTCTCAACGGATGCCAGCTTCCTGAGCTCAAAGGAAGCTATCAAGCATACCTTCATTATGCTCGGACAAACGAGTTGGACGAAGGCGTTGCATACTGGGAATCGCTTCTTCATGGCGCGGAAATGACCCAACTTGTTTACCAGAAGGGTTGCAACCATGACGTCCCGTCAGGTCTAAACTTTGTGGATGGTGTGCTCGTCAGCATGATTGATAGTCGGCTGCTTGAGTCTTGTTGCATTGGCGACAGAAGCAGCAACACCTTCGGCGGCAACACCAAAGGTGCAATCGTCAAAACAGCCTGGGCGCTCACTCTTTCTGAGCTGACTGGTAAAGACGATGTTGTTTTCGGCTCCACAGGCTGGGGCCGCAATCACTCCGTTGAGTTCGCAGAGGATGTGATGGGTTCATGCACTTCGCACATCCCCACACGCCTACGAATCACCACTTCAGCCACAGGCAATAGTCCCAGAGTCACATACGGAGATCTGGTCGAGCAAATACAGACGCAGCACATAGCTTCCATGCGATACGAGAACATCGGGGCGAATACGATAGTTGAGAAGTGCACAGCCTGGAAGCGGTGGACGCGATTTTCGTCACTGCTGGTTTTCCAGGGGTTAGACATCGGAACTCCGCAGAATTGCAGTGAAGATGGTGGAGTTGCTCCGACAATCAGGTTCACGGAGATCATGGACCCAGGCGATCGAGCGGACGTGATCGTTCACGTAGAGCCTTTCGGAGACCAGACGCGAGTCATGATGGCTTTCGCAAAAGTGTGTCTGCCCGAAGACGTGGCTGGCGTGATGATGTCGACATTTAAACAATACTTGAAACTGATTACTCAGTTTCCCGATCAGCCTGTTCCTCTGGATAAAGGCGACTTATCCCCGTTGTTGCCAATTATTCATGAGAGCGCCATAATTAGGCGCACTCTGGATGTTGTAATCAACTCGCGGGCTGAGAATACTGTCAAAGAGGTTTGGATGAAGGTTCTTGATGTGGATGATGGCGAGTTCTGCATGACCAGGCAGGGTAGCAGGTCGTTCCTTGAGATCTGGGGCAATTCAGTGTCAGCGGCGGCCCTTGCTCATGAGTACAGGTCAAGGGGCTTCGCACTTTCCACGGAGGACATGTTGCGGCATCAGATGGCATTTGAGCAAATGCAGATGATTTCAATGATGATTGACGGAAAGCAACAGTAATCAATAAACCGCAGTCTCGCGCGCAATAGGCTATTCTTAGCACATCAGATATGATTGGCTGCTCTACAGTTCTTGGACTGCGTTTGATGTTGACCAGTTGCTAATTTTCACCAAAGTCAGTTTAAATGCCCAGGCGAAAGAGTTCTCAACGCCGAACTTTATTGCGGCTGTCTTAAGGGCTGACTGACGTATCGATCAAGGATACACCCAGTACGGGTCGCAGACGCCGAAGTGCGGCCCCACTTAAGGCCGTTCGGGGTGATTTGAAGAGAGAAAAGAGCGATTTTTGCCTCGCCCCAAAATGCCCCGTCTGAACGGGATGCAGGGTCTTTGCAACTCAGATAAGGTTCTCTTGAGAACGCTCAACTCCGTGCCGGGGTGGACCACTCAAGATGTTGCAAAGTGGCGATTTTATGGTACGGATCCTTTTTCCTAGCTCACGGCAAATGGGCTCGTATTGGACTTCACTAGCCCATGCAGGGACAAGAGCACAAGAAGTTTTTGGCACTAATGTTGGGCGCAGCCGAAAAGAAAAACGCCAAGCGACTGGTTCAGATGTCAGAGTAAGAAAAGTTACCCCCTTCGACGGATCATCTTCGTCCGGGTGCCAAGCAGTGTTGCGTTGTGTGGCGTAGGCACATGGTCTCTGCTTACCCTTTTATTTTCTTTTGACAACTGCATGAGGGAGGGCAGGCTCAGAAAGAGCAGTTTAATTGGTTTCGAGGCGTATTTAATTGAACAGAATGAGAAGGATGTGAGGGATGGGATGCCCTGCGGTTGATATTACTGTGGTGTTATCCAGAAACATGCATGTCTCGTTCGGCTCCAGCAGATTGGCTGCCGATCTGGGTGTCGTTGAGACAAGGATGATCAGTGTCAAGCATTATTAGAGTAAAACCAAGTTCAAAGATTGTAACGTGCGTACAGGCATAGATGCCGGCTGACAGCCTTAGCAGAACCAGGAACACGGCTTGACGGTGTCATCCGTCCATCGAATGAACCCATCCGTGCGATCCCCAACCTAGCGTGCACTCTACCACCAGCCAACACGAAAGGTCGAAGAACCCACGCACATGGGGTGATTGAGGCTAGCCTGCCCTATCCGTCATGTCCCAGAATAATGTCTCCGGTGCCCAGGGAGGGAGAACTTCCCGTGCAAGGCAATCCCGCCCTGCCAGCCGCTCCATGTTGTGCCTGAGCTTCCGTGTTCTGGCCCCAAATTGGCTTGCGGAGCTGACGGATGTCTTAAGTGCCCACACTGATCTTCCAATCGAGGGATGACCCGCCCTGTACGGGCGTGAGAAGTCTCTCATCCCTCCCTTTACGGCTAGTCTTGCCAATTCGCCGCTTGCGAAATGTTCTCTGCTGGCGCTGCCTCGACTCGTGTGCTGTCTTGCGTGATACAATATTATGTACAGAGCCTGCCCCTCGGCAGCGCCCCCAAGGCCTCTGTCCTATTCTGCTCGTCGTCTTGCTTGCTCTTTCTTTCCCGTCAGCCGCCTCGAAGATGACGATGTACATGAGCGAGAAGCCCGAGCTGGCGGTCCGTACGCCGCTGCGGGAGCGGTTCTTATACCACATCTCTCGGCTCCGATACCGAACATGCGCACTAACGGGCCTCATTCTAATCCTCATCTCGACATTTTGGTTGTACGGCAACAGCGGACCGAACGGCCTCCGATTTCCATTCAGCGCCGATATGTTCTCCGTGGAGCACACAACATGGATTGACAACTCAACACGATCCGACTGGGTCAAGCCGCGCCCTGGACATATCATCCCGCCCAAGATCTGGCAGATCATGCTTCCGAAGAACTGGAAAGACAAATACCCTGTCAACAACCCAGACAAGTTGAAGGAAACAGCATCATGGTTGGCCATGAATACCGACTACGCCTAGTAAGTAATCTCCAGCCGTTTTTTCCTCTACGGTTTTTTGTTTCCTTGCAGACGTCTCCGTGGTCCTTGGCACCTTCCAAGCTAGGGGAACAAAATGTCGTTTCTTTGTCCAAACATCACAGACGTCATCCGCTCTATTATTAGAGGACAACGAATCTTTTCTATACCCCAGAGAGACATAGGGCTAACCTCACATTGTGTAGTACCCTAGTTGGTGGAAAGGGCGGCAAAGAATTCGTCGAGCGCCGCTTCGGAAACCACTCGAAGATCCTGCAAACGTACATCAACATGCCTAACGTCGGCATGAAGTCCGATATGCTTCGATACCTGCTCCTCGACGTCGAGGGCGGGGTCTACACCGATACCGATACCCTCGCCTTGAAGCCTGTCGACACATGGGTTCCGCGTAACATGAGAAATGCAACCCGGCTGATTGTCGGCATCGAGTTTGATCAGCGAGATGGTCCCGCCTGGGCAGATATTCCTCATCCGCTCCAGTTCTGCCAATGGACTATTGCGGCAGCTCCTGGACATCCCGTCTTTATGAAAATGACGAACAGGGTTGTTGAATCTGTCGAGGATCTGGTTCGGCAGCACGGTGTTAAGGAAAGCCAGCTGAAGCCAACTAGCTTCGAGGTCATGAACTCTACGGGACCTGCGGCATGGACGGACGTGGTGTTTGAGCACTTGCAGACCATCGAACCTAGCCTGACCGACATTCGAAACCTATCATATATGACAAAGCCGACGTTATACGGCGACGTCTTGGTCCTTCCTATCGACGGATTCGGGATGGGACAACTGCATTCTGACAGTACACACGACGGAACCATTCCTGATGATGCCTTCGTTCAGCACTTGTTCGGTGGTTCTTGGAGAGATCAGTGACAACTGATCCGCACGTTAATGGCAAGGCGGAGTTTATTTTGGGAAAGGCGATCGGCGCTGGTTTTCTTCACGAACTTCTTATTGTTAATGATCTTCTAAGATCGGCTTTATGGATACCCACGATGATAGCTATAACATGATTCCTTCACCTGCATACCTATTCATGGCTCGAAAGCTTACTTTGGAGCCAAGTGCTCGCCACGCTGTCGGTGGAACACGAAGCAAAGGCCAAGTGCATCAAAACGGTAGCGACACCCTGACTGTACCGGAAGGATTGATTGCCACCTCCACACTATGTCAGCATGCTGTAGATCCTGTACGGCCCCTTTGACTCGCAGGTGCTGCCTTGGTAAGGGGTCCTCCGAAAACCTGTGGCACGAGCCGGACACGTACTTGTTGTAACACGAAATGACACAGCTGAACAGAACTGGAGCCCTGTCATCTTGGTCGGGCGAAACAATGCTACTCATCATTTCCCATTGTGTCACGGGTAGATGATACGGCCAATGGTCAACCTCCCCTAGTCTTGAAGTTTCGTCCGAGCCATTTCCATCTGTCTCCATGCTGAGAAGACATCCAGCCTGACTGGCTGCGGGAAATCCTACATCAGGATCTTCGCCGTAGTGCACAGAGGACCGCAATATGTCAAGTATCGGGATTGACCTTTGACGACCACGCAAGGTCGCTCTCAATTGCAGCTCCGCACTCGCATTCGCTTCTATACTGGAACGTACATTGACTTTAGCAAGCGTATAGTGCTTCTTACATCAGGAGCTAGCGCTCAAGGAGTGTCCGCAGATTGCATCTATCTGATCTAGCATATGTACTGGGCCAACCATGAATATGAGATTATGAACCTGTAGTCTGATAATGAATTCTATGGAAGTACATTGAGTATCTTGAGAACCTCGACATTGCTTCCAAACCAGTCGATCATGCACAGAATGACATTCTGCATAGACCTCCAAACCCCTTTCAATTTTGATCCTGGGCCTGCTCGCAAGAAGGACCAGATGCAGAAGGATATCACACAGGTTCGTTACCCGTCGTTCCAAATCGCTTGTGGTTGTGGTTAGATAGTTGAGTTACAGGTATGTGGGGAAGAAACACCCAAGAAAGTCAACGAGTGCGTATAAGCATTCAGTCTCGATGACATCCAGGTCAAGCAGGCTCCAACCCCAAGACGCTGTCAACATCCACATTTTGTAACACAAGAGGAATCCTTGTCCAACGATGACGGGAACATCTTTAGTCGTTGCATCCTGCTTTAGACCGATTGATCGCATCACGATAGTAGATTGAACTCCCGGGCAACTACGGTGCCCGAAAGGATTGAAGGATTGCCGCTGGAGCATGACTACTGGTTAGAATAGGGTGGTAATGCATTGCAATAGTGACACTACGTTATCTAGACGAGAGCTATCTAAACGGACAGAACATCTTGTAAGTTGGCCTGACAATACAGACTTCAACTTCCACGCGAAAGGTAGTATATATATGTCGCTCCAGTCGTCCTTACTGCGCCCTCTCCCTCTAGTCGTCGCCTCAGCAGTCTTGAGCCTTTAACATAATTGAATCTACAAGAGAGAAGACCTAATTAAATCCTTGGACCATCATCTTTCGACCCCTACGGCAACTTTTCATCATGAAGTTCTCCAACGCCCTTCAAGCTTTCACCCTTGCCATTGCTGGCCTTGCCCAGGCACTTCCCGATGGCTGGTACGAAGGAACCACGCTTTCGAATGGCACCATGGAAGCCAAGCCTCTTGGTGCCAGCGACACCAAGCTCTTCACCATCGAGCCATCCGCGGATTGGGAGAGGTCCGTCAGCGAGCGAAGCGTCGATGGTGGTGAACCTATCTCTCGTCTTGGTAGACGATCCACCTCCTGCTGGGGCTCAGCTCTGGACCGAGCCGGCACCGACGCCGCTGTCTCGGCTTGGAAGAATAAGGTCGGACCAACTGGAGCCTTTGCTCTCCGTTCCGGCAGCAACCCCAAGGCCATCTGGTTCATTCGAAGAGGTGTCAAGGTGTACTACTGCATCAACGCACCCAACAGCAGCGGAAGTCTTGATCTTGTTGACTTCAATCACGCCCTCAAGCAGATGGACACTGCGTGCCCTCGGTACACTGCTGGTTACTTCCGGTGGGACGGGTCGGTCGAGATCTTTGGCAAGGCGGCAGAGAATGTTCCCATTTGCCGAGGTTAAGACTCAAAGGCGATTCAGGAGGCTTAGTTTTGGTTGATTTGTTGAACATTACGACGAAAATGGCGAAGGGGTTTCAGTTCTTGTCTGTCGCTCCTGATGTTGTGAATCTGGTCGGATTGGCCGTGGTTAGGGGAGATTGTTGAAGCAGCTGTTTCTTTACACAAACGCAGTCCCTACCTACATACACATAAAACTAAAACTTGACGTCAAACCATCTACATCTTCTAATCTTGCGTCTTCCTTATGATCAATGCAAAAGTGAGGAAGACAACTTTTGCTCGCTGAAGTGGGAGCAATTCACGGGGCGCATTATCTTGGCTGGTCAAGATCACGTTCTGTGCTAAACTCCAACATGCCGAGGACCACGATGAACACCCACTATCTAATGAAACCCCCCGTTTAATCTATATAGAGAGAAGCCAAGTTCTAGCCTCAACACTTGGACTTTGGCTTGCATCGTGCATTTACTTTTGCTGTCCGGGCGGAATATCTAGACCTGTTATGGCGGGGACTGATCCCGGTCGTGTCCATTGTTCTTTTGGTCATGGTGTCCAATAATTCTTCTGAATTGCTGAATCGCTGAGTTTTAGAGGATTCAGGTCCGACTCAATGTCTATAAGCAATACCCAGGAAAGAACCTTATACCACGCACTATGGGACGCAACTAAGGAATAACTGCCATGGCATATTGCATAGCACGTCGTGAGCTACATCTATCCAGAGTTCGCAGAACATAGGTTGCAAATTAATCTTAACCCAGAAAACGGCCGCATGCTAGCTTCCAGGCATTGCGTTACAGCCTGAACTAGGAGACCGACTCGACTTACCTTAGAAAGAAAGGTTTGAAGCTAGGTAATTGTCCGCCATTCTGACTCCTCTAAGTCGATTCATATGTTGCTAGCATCGAAAAACAATCTTTTCAATGATCAAAGTCAGGCCTCTCGGCATGCTGGGCAGAATATTGCGCTTCCTTTTCGGACCGAGGCTCCTGTTGTTTGTGACGAGTAAGCATATGCGCCCATACGGCTGACATACAGGCTGTCTACGGTGTCATGTTTCAACGCCAATCAATCTCAGAGCAGCAGTGTCTTTGATACGTGTCCACGTCGGATTACAAAAGGATTTGAAGGGCGGTGTCGAATTTGAGGTGTCTGATTGTGTGGTGATGATGGAGAAGTATTTAGTCTTTCGACATGAGTGGCTCAATTTGTGTACAGAACCAACCGGCCGAGCCAACTGCCGATTGATGTTATGCAGAGGTTATGCACGGGACAGCTGCTTGCATCAAGTCATCTAAGCGAACTCGCCAAGGGGCTGATGATGCATCTAAGCATGATAACAAGCCTCGGGGTCCTGATTCCCGTCCGTTTGCCTGGGATCGCCCCATTTTTGTCGGGTTGTCGGTGGGCGAACTCTCCGTCCCGTCTGGAACTGTTCGCTTCAGTGGGTGACACCGTGGTTGGACCAGGCTGCAGCGCCAAGCATGGCTCACGATGAATCATCCGCGCTAGCAAGGGCTAATGCATGTTTTGGTTGAGAATGACTAGGATCATCCCAGTCATGGCGTTGTGCACGAACCTGTCATCCTCCACTCGAAGAAGGGTCCGGAATGGGCTGCCGACTGGGAGAATGAGGGGTGATATGTCGCTGAAGGACGTCCTTTTTGTACGTTGTCGTGATGGAATGACGATGGATGAGCCATTGAGCATCACATTGAGCCATTATGTTGACGTTGGACATCACCTCCCAAAAGTGGTGATTTCGTATCTCGTGCCGCATCTCGGTGGCCACGGGATTGGTTTCGTGAGCGATTGTCGCTTACTGCCGTAATTCAGCATGCTGAATGAGCCATCTTGGGTCATGTTGAACCACCAAGGAAAGAAGATCGCGAAATCATATAAAGATAGATTTAAATAGCTTTCATCATCGTAGAGTCTGTTTGCAATGAAGAAATGAGTTCAAGTTAACCCCAGCACTAACGACAAGAAGCCATGAGAAGTGCATGGTATATCACAATGATGAAGAGATAGGCAAGTTGACAATTAACCAAACATTCCATTCATTAGCTGCTACGTGATGACAACACCGGAAGATGACTGAACACAAAACTCTCTCGCACCACAGGATGCGAGTCCATGGGTCCATTTCCAGCCGACATCGTCTGACAAACACCAGCGCTTCCTTCATACAACTCATTCCCACGGAGGCGAAAAGACAAAAAGGCTGACCATCCAGCTACGGCTTAGTTTCCTTCCGCATGACGCTCCGAAGAGCCTCGGTCTCTGCCTCCTGACGTGCGAGACGAAGACGGAGTTCGTCGCGTTCGCGCGTCATGTCCTCCAACATCTTCTCAAGGTCCGAGATGCGATCAACCTTCTTCTGGCGGTACTTGCGGGCGGCGATGGTGTTTCGCTGCCGGCGCAGGATCTTGTCGGTGTGGGGGGTCGATATCTCTTGGCCTTGGCCGTCAGAGTTGGGCGAGGAACGGTGAGATGATGGGACCCCCGGCGCAGCAGTGTATACTGACATGTCCAGGGGAGGAGGCTGATTCGGACTGTTGTTGTTCGAGCTGTCACTGGAGCCGAAGAGAGGGTCCAGGTGAGGAGGGAGGAGGCTATCCGGGAAGGTGTCGAAGAGGGTTGGTGGTGTGGTGTCAATGTAGGGGAATGCTACATATATGTTTAGCTTGAGGCCAATCGAAGGAGTCACAGAATGAGTCAACTTACATTGGTCAATTAAGCTGTCGAGGGGACTGGCACTGACGTAAGGCGTCGCAGTAGCGGCAGACGTCCACGGCAGAGTGTCCCAAGGTGTCGGATCAAGAAAACAGGTAAGGCTCGGATCGGTGTGGACGGATTCAGGTCCGAAGAGCCCAAAATCCGCACCCGGGAGACCAGCGGTCGACAACGGTTGTTGTGGTTGATACTGAAGATCGTGAATGAAGCCGGTCTCGCCGGGGAGATTGCAATTATCCGCTGCCCATGGCAGACTGTTGGTGAGGTTGCCACCAGAATCTGGCGATCTGGCGGCAGGCGGCCGATGCTGATGCTGCGGCGGCCGGCATTGTTGCAGAGTGTAGGGGCCCCGTTAACTAGGGGCCAGAAGTTGGCGTTTTAGAAACGGAGGGAGTTGAGGGTCTCGACTTGCGAGATAGGTTGATTGTCCTGAGGAAGGAAGAGGAAATCGAGGAAAGACGAGCGCGGGGATGGGAATTATTAATGGAACTTTGGCTTCAGCGGTAAACCAGTGATCGGCGGGGAACTGTGATCATCCTTGCGGGTTTACGGCGGCCGCATTCTGCTGACTGCAGGATAGAACGCTAAACTCTTGTTGGTTAATGAGAGTACGGAAGTACATGGCGCAGTCTGTCTGACCTGTGGCAGTACTTTGTTGGAGGCGGACGGACTTTTTCGAGTCATGTGGAGTTCATCTTGCAGTTAAGAGAGTCGCATTCTCATTCTAACCCAGTTCAGCCACATCTGGCATAAAGTATGCATCAAGACCCCTTGATCGTTCAAGCCGAGACTGATCCCTGCGCCCCATGATCACTGCTCGAAATACTGCCTACGCGACCTCCAGGTCAGGAAAAAGAGCTGACAGGTTCACTCTTGCCTTGATGACAAACGTGTTTGCTTCATCCATCCACTCTGTGCCTCATTGAGAGCATCCCCTTTTGCCAGAAACAAGCAGCTGAGCATACTACGAATTTGATAGCGCCCTACACATCACCGGCGGATCTCGACCAAATCAGCCCACTTCCAGGAGACGCTGCAGAGCCCGTAAATCTACCTAAACCGGCACGCCCTCTGACGTTGCTCCTTCAGAGACCCCTTGCCAAGTGCTCATCTGCGGCTCACCTTTTGCATGGGTCGGGCCCAACGCGGAGACATAGCGACCGACCGACCGGAAATCTTTCCCATCCCTCTCATTTGAGTTACCCTCGGACAATCCCACCATCAGATGGATCCAGCACATCTTGCAGATACGGCGTCGACATCGCCGAGAAGCGCTGCCAGCCAGGCCGGCTCACTCGAAAGCGATAACAACAGCAACGGCAGACTATCTGTCGCTCACCGCCCCAGACACACCCGCACCAGCACGCCTAAAGTAAGGACAGGCTGTGTGACCTGTGAGTACCAAAAGCCCCGCTCGCGTATGCTGCACTCCGCTCACCCTCAGCAGGCAAGTGAGTTTAACAAGACGCCTAAGTGGCCGATCCTAGGCTGTTATCTAACATTAACCCTTCTAGAAAACGGCACATCAAATGCGATGAGGCAAAGCCACATTGCATGAACTGCCTGAAAACCCGTGGCGTATGCGATGGGTATGTCGTCAAGCCACGGAAGGCGAGGGGCAGGCCTGCCGCCCAACCGCAACGACTCAACCCTCCGTCACCATGTCGCGCCAACCAGCGTGTGCTACCAAGAGAACCGGACATGAACTCTCTGGACTTTGAGAATGATAGAGACAGCGTTTACTTCGAAGACTGGAACGACCTTGTTCAGGTTTCCCTCGGCGGCGCGCCGTTCTCCCGCACCAAGCTCTGGAACGAGATGATGCCGCAACTCAGCAGACAGAATCCAGCGCTACGACACGCGGCCATCAGTATCGGCGCCATGAGCAGGGCGCTGTCACAAAAAGGGAACTACGTCGTCGCGAGGAACTTCAACAACATCGCCGACCTTCTTCAGAGCCAACACTACCAGAGCGCCATCGTTCATTATTGCCAAGCTCTCCGACTGCAAGCTCACGCCGACTTCCAAACAGCAAGCATTCAGGAAGCAGTCCTGTTGTCCATACTGTTTGTTTCATTTGAGGCCCTCCGCGGAAATCGGCATTCGGCGCTGCAGCACGTGAGATATGGTTTCGTGCTATTACAGGAACTGCTTATGAGCGAGGATGCGGACGCGCGTATCTGGAATCTCGCCCCCGACCCGCGACAACTCATCACTGAGGTCTTAGACCTGTACAACCATCTCGACGTACAGAGTCGCACCGTT